CAGGCCTCCCAGAAAGCTTGGTGATCGCCACCGCCCACCCAAAACCAACATTCATGTGCCAAGAAATCGAATTAACACGTGAAAGAAAAAATACGGGCTCGTCCGGGATTTGAACCCGGGACCTCTCGCACCCAAAGCGAGAATCATACCCCTAGACCAACGAGCCCCTCAGTCTAAATAGTTCTTAGCTCTCTTCTTTACCTCGGTCGTCCTACCACCGACAAAGTGAATTTTTCTTTCTAACCTGAATCTCAGTCGCCAGTCCTCAACTTGTTCTTTTTCGGCCATGGGTAGGCCGCGCAGCATCAACGGTCTGGATCCTTACGCCCTTCTGAGATCTCCAGGAATCCAACTGAGCGCCCCGCAGTCTAGGGCTCCTCCGGCGGCCAGCAACGGCTGGCCTCCGCTTTTAGAGACTGGGAGCCCCCTCCCGAGGAAGCCCAAACACGTCTCAAGTCTGGAGGCGCCGCTGAGGGGCGCAAAGGCCTGGAGAGCCCGAGTGAACGAGGCGCCGGACGTGGCGGGGACGCGGGATGCATGGGTCCTGAGCCGCGACAGGCGACACGAAATCCGGGTGGTCCCTTCGGGTGGGGCTCCTGGTAAGGGGGCAAGGACTTCTCTTCATCGTTTCAATATTAAAAGCAACACATACTTATTTGCAAAAGGTTAAGAAAATGTAGGGAAGTGTAAGGCAGAAGTGAGGTGCCCAGGAACTCGGCTCGCTCAAGGGCGATAGGCTCGCACCAGTACACGCCCGCCCTGCGCTCCGGCTGGGTGCCGGCTCGCCTCGTTCTCCTGGGGCGGCCCGGAGCGGCCACCAGCATCCGGCGAACCCGGCGCCCCGTCTCGGACCTGCTCTCTCCCAGAGGGCTTTAGTCACACTGGGTTATTCAGTAGTAAAAAAGCAGTGATTCCGATACTTCAATGTAAAACCACGAAAGGCCACTCACAGCTGGCCCAAAGGTTTACTTTTGTGCCACCAGCAGAGATACTCCCTACATGGGTGGCTGTTACAAAACAGCGTGGGAGAAAATGGTGGTTAGCCTACTCCGACGGAAAAGGTGCTCCTTTTCCCATTGCCTTTGTCACGTTCCCGCTCGGTCCCCCGCGCTGCCTGCTCGGCTCGCGGTCCCTGCGCTCGGCCTCCTCGAAGAGACCGCGATGCTGAGGCGTCGCCGACGCGCCAGGCTTCGCCTTCTCCCTCGTGGTCGGCGCCGGGTGGGCCCCGCTCTGCTCTGCGACCGGGCGTCCTCGGCCTCCCGGTCACCACCGCCTCCTTGGTGTATTTGCCTCTCTTCTGTATGGAATTACATAAAGGCTCCAACAAACGTCCACACCCGTGACACCAGTCCAAAACAGTGTAACTGTCACATTCGCTTCCAGTCCTTTTTTTATCAGTGTTTCTTTTAAACAAAATACACAACTAGTATATGCTGATCCGACTTTATGCTGTTAACGTAAGTCAAGTGCAGAAAATGAACAGTGGGGGCGCTGCCCCAGGCGCAGAGCCAGGCCTGCCGGGAGTCTCGGCGTCCTCCCGCCACGGCCTTGGCGCGCACGACCCGCCGGGGAGTCCCGGCAGAGGCAGAGCATGGCTTCGCCCCGCTGCGCAGAAGCCCTCTCCGCAGCCTACGGAACCCTCGGAGGGCCCTGCGCCAGGCGCCGGTGCGCGTGGGGACGCGGCCGACTCCCGGCGGCGCACTAACGCCGCTCAAGGTTTCAAAACAGAGACCCCGCAAACCTGCACCAGGGGAGGAAACTGGGCAGACGCCGGAGAAGGGGCGTATGGGACGGGTGGGGTGCGTGGCGGCGGGAGGCCCGCTTCTACCCAAAGAGGCAAGACTTCGCACCAACACGACCAGAACGGACTCGCCCCCAGCTGGCGCGCCCCGGATTCGCGGGGATCGGCAGCCCCAGGCGCCCGCCCCAACGTAAGGCCACCGCACAGTAGGCTCCAGACGGCGGCCCCAGCGCAACGGCGAGCGTGCAGGGTTTCACACTGATCCCGACCACAGCAGCGGGTCCCCGGGTGCGTGGGGACGGAGGGCGTTCGCAGGTGGTCTCCACACGACTGAGGACAGAGAGGGGCGAGTCCCGACCAAGCGCGGCGACGGGGGGAGCGAAAGGACGGCCACGAACTCGCCGAGCGCGCTTAGAAGGAAGCGAGCGCCGCACCGCTAAGGCGGCGGTGCTGTGGACGCCTGTGCTTGAAGGCCGACCACGCAGCGGGACAGGCAATTCGAAGAACAAGACAACGGCAGGGAGGGGCCGTTGGCGGCCGGGGCCCGTGAGGGACACGAACAGGGAGATCCGCGGGTTCCGGCCTCGCAGGGAGGAGGAAATTCATTTTGGCTTGCGCATCTTCCGCTTTTCTACCTACCGTAAAACAGTGAAAAAAGTGGGAAAAGAAGGCAGGCCCCAGCGAGATTTGAACTCGCGACCCCTGGTTTACAAGACCAGTGCTCTAACCCCTGAGCTATGGAGCCACCTACGGTAGTACTTTCTATGCCTGAGAAGTTGGCGCCACCATCGTCGCCGCGCAGCCGCAGAGAACCATACGGAAGATCTAATCGACGGGAGGCGCATCTGGCGTCCCTCGGCCCGTGACAGCCCCCTCGGCCCGTGACAGCCCCCTCCGGCCTCCGTCGCCTCACTTGCGACGTAAGTGTCAGTGCCACGAGCCCGGCCGCGAATCCCAGGAGATAGCCCCGCCCAGACGGCCGGCCTCACGCGCGAGCCAGGCCTGTAAGGCGCAAGGGCGGAGCTCCGGGGCGGAGCGCGAGGAGCCTGGGCTTCTTCCGCGGGCTGGGGTCCTGGCGCGGTCCGCCCCTTACGCGGGTATACGGGGGTGAGGTCAGAGGTCATGCCGGGGCTAGGTAGGTGGGCTGGGCGGGGCCGGAGCCGCGGGAACCGGAGGCGGGGCTGGGACGGGGAGAATCAGAAGCTGGGCTCCGGGGAGGTGCTGGGCCGCGGTCTTGCCGCTCCACTAGGCCCGTTAGGAAAAGGCAGTCCCTCGGGCCCACCTTACTCCCTGGAAGCTACCGGCTGGGGCCTTCAAGGCCCACCGCGGGTACTGTGCCGGAAGTGAGGGTAAGTGTCCAGGTGAGGGGCAGGAGCCCTACCCCAGCAAAGGTCAGAGAGCGGCGGCTATAGGTGGTGGCCCGTGGCCTGGCGGCCCCGGCTGCCCTGTGGTTCCTGCAAGGCCAGGTGACAAGGCCAGGCCACAGACGGGCCCCTGGATGCCCTCCAGTCTGGATGCTGAGGAGCCCGTGTCAGGGTCTGGTGCAAGGAGCTGGCCCTCATGGCTCTGGCTCGCAAGGATCTGGGACTAATAGGTGGGGTCAGAAGGACCCTTGTTAGGCCAGTCGTTGCTCCCAGAGGCCCAGAGATCTCACGATGCCCAAAGAATGGAAGAGCAAAATACACACATACTCTCATACCAGCATTATGACAGCCGAAGTCGCCTCTCTGCCCAAAAGGCACAGTTGTTATGTAACTGTCCTCATGTCTCTTCCGATATATATATTTCTGCAGTTATTTTGTGAACTCTGATAGACACACAATCACATTCACAAACACAAAGCTGAAAAATATACCCCCGGACAGCCACCCCCTCGATCCCCAGAACCTCCACCTTCCGTGACCTGTAATATGTGTTGTAATACTTCAGGACATTTACGTTAGGCGGAAAGGTAGAGACATATGCGGATGGAGGGAGAATAAAGTCAGTAAAGCCCACTAAAAGGGACTCAAAGAGTTAACCAGATAAAACCAGAGGGCCAGAAAAGACTCACAGACATAATTAGCTGAAGTTTCAAGGACTGGGAGTTACTTGGAATGTCCAAACATCCAGACGAAAGAAACAACATACCCAGATGAGAAGTCTTTAAACACAGACTCTCCCCAGATAAGAGGGAAAAAAAACATTAGAAGACTAGCACAGTAACAGTCAGAGAGCAGTCCCTGTTTTCTTTTTTTTACCTATTAGACCAGGCCTCCAAGGCCAGATAGTCAATCAAGGACTTACCTGTCCTACACAGAGAAGCCTCACAGTAAGCAGCCTGCCTTGGTCCCCCTTGACACTGGCCAGCTACTCTCTTGGAGTGTATTCAAATAAAACTCTCATTCTGGTTCGCTTACTATGTCTCTTCCTTTGTTGCATCGGGGACAAGAACTCAGCAGAACGAACTCAACCCCCAATAGTCAGAGGATGCAAAGGGTTAATTGTGATTCTCAGTCCAAAGCCATGCAAAGCCAGATAACAGGGCTTGATGATAACATTAGGCAATTTAATTAGCAGATGAATGCTGGAAAGGGGTTTCCCTTGTGGAAATCAAACGTTTTCAAATACATGGATTGGCTACAACGTTCTAGAGACACTTTCCATGTATGAACGCAACATAGGATTCACCCTCTGAAACGCTGCTGTAGGCTGGATCTTAAATCGTCTTGTCCCCAACTCATAGAACATACTGGATTCTGATTGCCTGGTGGTATGTGCCTGGCTCTGTCTTTAGAACAGCATCATGCCCTACTAGACCCTTGTATGGAAAGTGTGCTTGAAGCATCTCAGACACAGAACATGGAAACTCATGATGCTTGCAGATCAGAGTATTCGATTGCCACTCTCCTGAATGCCAACATATCTGTCTAAACAACCCATACAGGACAAAATTAGGTCCAAGGCTGGCTTTCATCTAGCAGGGAAGCCTACAGCCCTCACCTAAATATGGGTGGCTAACATTTAACCACAAATCAGTAACAGGGTATGACAAAATTGACCAAATCTGTTTGACTGTTAAACCCTATTCACATGCTCATAAATGCCCTCTCCGAAATCCACAGGCCCCCTGCCCCTGCAAGTTGAGGGAGTCTAATGTGCAATGTGCCTCACACACATAAACACACACATGCTCACCCAATCTAGCAGAAACCCTGGCCCATACCTGTGCTCTTTCACTCAGACTCGGGAAGTTGAGAATGAACCAAGACACTGTAGAAATGAGCTGACAGTCTGTATTTCCATTTCCCCACCCCCCTTTCCTGGGGAGCGCTAAGCAAGGGACAGTCTGCCACCACTTTCTGGAAGCCCAACCATACAGAAGCTGGAGAACAATTAGCCAAGGGATAACCCATGGGGCACAGGCTGAGCAGGCCTTGGCACCAGGGTCCTCTGCTGTTGACACACATTTGGCACGTTCCAGAAAAGTCTGTAAGATGCATGTTTGTGCTCTGTGCATTTCCATGCTGGTGGTAGTTGCATCTGTAAAATTGGTGTTTCAGAATTCCAGAACCTTTGGTCTCCTTGCCCAAGGAAGACTGTCCTTTGGCATGTGAAAGGGATTTAGGCATTGTGAGAATATGTGGCTGTCACTGTGGCCAAGGAGATACAAATGACTGTATCATCACGTGGAGGGGTACTGGAGGGCAGCCATGCCTACACACTGTGTCCTGGACCTTTCTCTCATGTACAGGTCAAAGGTCTTCAAGTTCTGGCCCATACTCTCTGAGCTGTGAGTAAAGCTTGAGGAGATGACCTCCTCAGGCCAGCTGGATCCGGGGCTATGAAGGCAGAGTGGGCAGCTGACAAGAAGGCAGAAAAGAACCTGGTGGCTAGGCCTGAACCTGCGCCCTTGCCAGTGAGGACAGCCCAGCACCAGGGCTTGGTGTTGCTCCAGGAAACCAGAAGCCCTGCAGAGTTGGGGCCACAGCCCCAGGGATAGAAAGCAATTCTGCCAACAGCTGAGATGGGTCCTCATCTGCCACTACCTCCTCACAGCTCAGGCCAAGCCCAAATGTCAACAACAGGCAGGGGACAGGCCTGAGGGTCCAAGGCATCTCTTCCCCTGCTCAGTTAACCACAGAGCCCTTTCTCCCAACTGCCCACTCTCAAGCTTCCAATGGTGTAGTCTGCAAAAGCCCCTTGGGGGCAGCATGGGGCAGAAGAGTGGACACCAGACCCAAAGTGCACAGGAGGCCCAGCCGGAGGGTGACATTCCTTCCCAGGGCAGCCAGGACAAGGAGGAGTCGCCGCTGACTGGTGCCCTATAGGAGGCCCGGCAATGCCTTTCAAGGCCAGATTCGCAAGTAGGTGCCAGTAGAGCAGACGGAGAAAAGCGGGAACACGCGCTCCTGGAAATTGACGCGGAAGGTGTAGAGGTGGCGCATGTCCTCCACGGCGTAGAAGGACACGGCCCCCACCTCTAGGTCCAGGGCCACCCGCACGCGGGACAGGTGCCCGCAGCTGAGCGGCGTCCGTTCAGGGCTGGTCACTGCCCAGTACTGCCCGCTGTTGAGCTGCAGCGCCCAGACGCCCTCGTCGGGGGTGAAGGGCGTGAGGCCCTTGCGGCGCACACTCTCACGGGCCACTCCGAAGGCCCAGCCGTCCTTGGAGCCCACTTCCACCTCCCAGTGGTGCCGCCCGGAGGAGAAGCCGCAGGACGCCAGGACCCGCGTGTTGGTATCGAAGCGGCGCGGGTGGCTGGGCAGTTCCTGGGGGCGCTGTCCGAGGCGCACGCTCTTAAGATCCAGAGAGAGGATGAGCCGGGGGTTGGCTGTGTTGGGGTCCAAGGTCAGCTCCACTGTGGAGAGACAGGGGACGTCCAGTGCCGGCCCTCGCACACTTCCCTCCCGGTCCTTTTCCCCCCCCTCACTCAACAAGTATGTTTGAATTCAAACAAATGCAGTGTATGAACTTGATATTGGACCCTAATTCAAACAGATCAACAAATCCAGTTTAAAGAACAACTGGGGAAATTCAGACACTAGATATTGGAAACACTCATTAATTTTTCTAGTTGTGATGGTTTTGTGGTTTTCTTGAAAGTATATCTCTAGAGATGACATACTGAGATATTGATGGAAATATGTTCCTATCTGTGATTTGCTTCAAAATAATTCAGGGGGAAGAAGTAGGTGGGGATGTTTATGAAAAAACATTAGATAAAGGTGTATGATGTGCACATAATGTTGTTTAGGCTCTTCTACTTTTGTGTATGTTTGAAATTTTCCATAATAAGAAGTTAAAACACACATATGTTGAAAGTACTACTATATTCTGGCCTTTTGGAGGCCCTGGGAATCCCTCAGTCCAGTACCCCTGCCCTCCTGTAGCTTCCTTTCTGGGAGGAAGAGAAGGAGAGACAATAAATGATAAACATATAGGGATCAGAAGAGCAGGCTATAGTTTCAGGAAGGGCCAGGCAAGGCCTCCCTGAAAATGTGCATTTGAGCAGCGACATACAGGAAGTGAGGAAGTCAGAGATGCAGCTGTCTGTGGGAAGCTCCTTCCAGGCCCACCACGGCTAGTATGAGAGCCGTGGGGTGGGTGCCCACTTGGTGTCCTCCAGGAGCAGCAAGGGGTGTGTGACTGCCCAGGATGAGCCAGGGGGTGGGAGTGCAGGGGGCTCTGTAAGGCCACAGTGACCACTAGACCGAATGATAGGCTGCTGCTGGGTGCTGAGCAGTTGGTTTAGATCCATGGTCTGGCTCAGAAGGCTTAGATTATGCCCAGGTAAACTGAGGCTTAGCTGGATTGGTGGTCAGTATGAGGAGCATGTGCCCTGCCCTCTCCATGGGGCTGGCCCACTCACCTGAGCACTGTGTGGGAGCAGAAACCACCTTTCTTCCCACCATCAGTCTCCTCCCACTTCCCCTGAGCCCTGCACACAGCCAGACCCCAGGAGGGATCTCCATCTTCTAGGAGGGGGACAGGGTGGAGAGGCTCCTCCTGGCAACTGACCCACAGTTTATAGGTCTACAGGGCTCACTGTGGCCTGAGGAAGCCAGGACTGGGAAGCAAGGATGAGGGGACAGGGTAATGGAGAACAGTGTCAAGGCCAGAAGGAACCAGCCATGCACCAAGCCCAGGGACACAGACTCTGGTGGGGTAACAGGCACTCACTGTCACAGTCATCCTACCTTTCTCCTCCTTCTCCAGCTCTCCCAGAAGATCCTCTGAAGAGAAACAAAGCAGGGTGTGCCTAATGACCGGGCGATGACTGTGACCCCTTGCTGTTCACAGCCCCACTGGCTCACTCACTGCCCAGGTAACCCAGAGGCAGAGAGAGCTGACACTCGGTCGTTCGGTGGGGCCGGGGAAGGGGCCACCGTTCTGGCTCTGCCTCTCCCACTTACACTCTTTGGCCTGGAGCTGCTCTGAACTGAGCCCTCCCTCCTCATCCCTCTTTCTGCCCCCACCACTCCTCTGGCTCAGCTGTCCCTGGGGGAAGCTTTGTGCCCTAGGGGCCTGGAGAGACTGCCATCACTGCCTGTGCCAATCTGGCCTGGACATACTCCACCTCATGCCTTCTCATAGCTTCTGGAAAGGCACATCCTTGGGAGCCCCAAACACAGCTCTGCAGCCAGCACGGCATGGCCCAGCCCCACGCTCGGGCCCCTACCTTTGAACTTCTTGAGCAACCCCTTTAAGACAAAGGTCTTGAGGGAAACATTCCAGACTTTATTTTTCATCTCAGAAGAGACTGTGGTTGGCTTGGGGCCAGGCACGTTGCTGCACCTGCAGGACAAGGACCCTGAGGGAGGCCCACAAACACTGTCCCACTCCCACTGGGCTGTGACGGATGGCAGGGTCCTCTCGGAGGGGAGCGGTGGCTAAAGGAGAGGCCAACCTCATGCTGGAATACCCACGGCTAGGCAGGCAAGCATGGGCACACCTTCTGTTTGCCTTGGAAGGTACACAGGTAAGGCAGTAGAGGCTGGTGGGAGGCTGGGAACTGAGAGGTCATGAATGAAGAGAGAGAGCTCAGTGGAAAAAAGAGAGCTAGGCCAGAGAAGCCCAAGGAATTCTTGGGTCCACTCACCTGCTTAGTGTGTTTTTGAAATCCTGGAAACAAAATTGAAAGAAAACCAAATCAGCTTCAGGTGACCTCCATCACGTTTGAGAAAACAGAACTGAGGCTTATTCAGGCAGTAAGCGCCACCTGCCTGGGCCCGGGGACAATGGTTTCCCCTGTGGCTGGCCGCTGGTGTTTCATCAGTGCAGTGACCCTCCACCCTGCCCCCAGCTCTGCAAATGCTCCCTTCATTACCAGAGCCATGCGCTGGAACCTCTGCTCCTGAACCCACCCAAGAGAAGCACAGCCCTTCTGTCTTTTAAATGAAATGACTGCTCTTGACCATTTGTGACCTAAGAAGTTTACTTAGTGGGCTGTGACTATTTATTTTAAAAGGAAATAACAATAGAAAACATCAAAGTACATCATACATAGTAAAGGTAAGTGCTATTCTCTGAGACTTGTCCAGTGTGTATAAACTGGAGTATGATGTAGGATTATTGCTGTGGCTCATGGTCAAGGAAGCTTTATCACATCCCTTTAGGCTTCTAAGCCCAGGAGCATCAGGGCAACTCCCTCCATCCAGTCCAGCCCAGCTCCAAAGTATGTGATTCTGCTAAACTCATAGGCTCTGACTATGTTCTCAGTGGTCCAAGATACATTAAGACAAATGACTCAAACCCCTGGCAGAGACATGTTCACCTGGAGAAAGTCGAGGTCAGGCTTGCAAGCTGTCTCCTGAATCTGGCTGCTGAGCTTGGAGAGCTGGGTGATCTCTCCCCCGAGCTGGGCCAGGTTCTCATTCTGCTTCTGTGTCACCTCCAGGGAAAGCTCCTCCAGACGGCCCAGGAGCCGACCCTCCTGCTCTACCAGGAAGGCCCTCAGTGCCTGGAATTCCACACTCACCTTCTCTCGCTCGGCTGCCATCTGTTTCTGTCCCAGGGGAGGAGAAGTAGCAGAAGTGAAGGGATACAGGCATCAATACATGGCATTTGGACAGGAGCCTCTGAGGTGTGCCACAGGGCAGTGTTCCATTCCCCTCACTGCTCAGGGGTCAGAGATCCACCCATACGTGCCTGCCCTGCACATCCTCTAGTTTAAATATCCCATATCTGAGCATGCAGTGGCCTTAACACCTGCTCTCGCTTCCTCTGTCAAAGATGTGTCCCAGCAACCTAGGGCAATTTCAAATGCACCCTGGAACCACCCAAGCGGGAGACATAAATTAGTGCCTCCTGGAGCCACCATAAAGATTAAACTGAGGTCACTTTTCTTCCCCAAATACATTTATTTCAAGACAACAGGCCCAAAATGGAGTTGCTTATGCTGAGCCCCTCCTCACCACACTGAAACTTGATTACAGTTTCAGCTCCCCCAGAGATGGAATCTTAAACCAGCCAAACAGGAATCACCTGACAGCAATAGGAAACCCGTTATAAACTCTTGCCGACCCCTACAGGGTAGGTAACCTTGCAATAACCAACCCACTTTCTGCCTAGTGTAACCTCCTTGTTCCTGCCCCCTCCTGCTATAAACCCTCTTGCCATGTCCAGCTCTTTGGAGCTCCTTTCTATCTGCTAGATGGGATGCTGCCTGACTCGTGAATCACTGAATAAAGCCAATAACATCTTTAAATTTTACTTGGTTGAATTTCTTTAACATTCATCACCCTGCAACTCTCACTCTTCACTTCACTTTTGTAAAGAGCACTTATTATAAAGAGAACACATGCTCATAATACAGAAGCTGGGAAATGCAGGGAAGTAGATGAGGCAGCATCATCGTCAGTTACCCGCAGTAGCAGTGCTCCCATGCCCACCTGCGTCAGAGTATGTAGTGTGCAAGCCTCACGTCTAGTCTTTCCGTTATCATCATAGCCAGGAGCTTTCGCTGGGAGTTTTCAGACACAGACTCACACTCCTGAGACTCTTGATTCTTTACCTGAACAGCTGAGAAGGACTCCACATGATACAACAAGTGTGCCTGGTCATGGCCATGTACAGGTGAGAAAGATTCTGTCCTTCCAGGACAAACTCAACTGTCAAAGTTCCTTTTCCCTGAAATTCTAGGGGTGGCAGGATGGCTGGATGAGAAGACTGAGTGGGTTTTGAAGTCAGGAGACCTGGGTTCATCCACTGCTCCCTAGGACCTTCATCTCTGGGGTGCTGGGCAAGCAGGCAGCAGTATGGGGCTCTTTATAGATGTTGACACCAGCATACTGACCACCCCCAATGACTGAGCACACTCTCATCCCATTTAAAAATGAGGAGACAGAGATGCACATCACCAGTGAATAGGGAGCCAGGATTCTGACCCCGGGAGTCTGACCCCAAAGTCTGAACTTCCTGCAACTATATCATAAGGCCCCCCAAGCAAATAACATGAGTTGAACAAAGTGTGACAAAATACTCTAAATCAGGGTTTCCCAACCCTGGTGCTATGGACACTTGGGGCAACATAATTCTTCACTGTGGAGGGCTATCCTGCACATTGCAGGATGTTTAAGCAGCACCCTGGCCTCTACCAGTAAATACCAATAGCATCCCTTCCCTACTGTTGAATCCAAAAATATCTCCAGACCTTGCCAGATGTCCCCTGGGGACCAAAGCTGGTTTCTTTTGAGAGCCACTCCTGAAACTGGTAAGAGCATTTTCAAATAAAAATACTCATTCTCCTTATTATCTTGCAACAGTAGTTGTCCTCTACCTCTTGTTTCATTAAGCAAGCACTGTGTAATTAGAAAGAATATGTGGGCCAGAGTGTGGGTGGGTGGGTCTTGTCAGAGGACAGAGTTGAAGGTCCTAAGCAGTGTCATGGGGAGTGGAGTCCATGAAGCTGTCCACACTGTGGAAGGCCCTCTGGGTGGTTGTACAACTGTAAGAGCCACCGATGCTTACTTCTTTCCCCAGCAGAGGAAGATGTAGGTCTGGAGGGGCGAGGGTGGTCTCCCATGGAGGCCAGCGAATGATCAGACGGGATGGCTGGGATGTGCTTTGGATGCAGGCATACCAGCTGCAGCTGAGGGTCAGGAAAGGACCCTGGGGCATCTGAACTCAGGACCCTCCCCTTCCGCCCACCCCTCCCCACCTCAGGGCAGAAGAGTCCTCAAGTTACTCTTCCTGCCTCTTCGAACTCCAGAACTGAATGGCCCTGTCCTACCAGGCCCTACTGGGTCCTTGCATTCTCTTAACACCTATTTATTCAGCTAGTTACTGGATTTTCGATATAGAAAATGACAGTCTGTGACCCACATTTGTCCACCTTAACCAGAAAGCTCCACTTCCCTGTTCATCGGAAGGAAGACAAGATATCCCCCATCCCACAGGGGGCGATGCGCACAGTGGACTGCGCAGCAGAGACTGCTGGGAACCCAAGTCCCCACAGCGGCGCTCTGCCGGCGCTGGAGCAGCTCTGACAGCCCCTTTCATTCCCCTTTAGCCTCAATTTCAAAGACCCTAAACATGACAAAAAAAATTAAAAAGAAGACTTTACATAACTCTTTTTGGGGAAAAACATGCCCTAAACTGACAAAAGGCTATTTATTGTACTTTCACTCCTACTTCGTAAGAATGTAACATGTTTCTCTGCGGAAACATTAATGCTTCCAGTTACAAGACGCTGCACAGGCCCTGACTGACTGGGGTGTCGTGTAACCTTAGGGTGATTACACATCCTGAGTCACTGACAGTTCTGCTGAAGCCAGCTGTGGAATAGTTACGTTGGCACGACTTTTCACTCTCAAAAGCTCTAGTTATGCAATAAATTATGTGGCCACACTTTATAATACGCATCCTATCGTCCTTCTAAAATCCACCTCTGCTGTCCCACAGGCACACACCGTAACACCATACACACAGAGCCAGGGTGGCAGGCGGCTCTCTGTTGTCACCCAGGGCTCTGCCTGGCTGGTGCCCGGCTCACCAGGAGCTCCTTGCTCTCCCACTCTTCAGTGGAACGAAACACCTCATAGTCCTCTAGATCCTTCTTCAAGACCTCCAGCCTGGATTCCAGGAGCTCCTGCGGGAAAGTGAGAGGGGGAACGCTGTGGGGAGAGGATTCTGCAAAGCCCCGCAAGTGCCTTCCAGAGCCAGCCAGAGAAAGGGAAAGCCCTGCTGCTCGAGAACGTGGCAGGGGTGTAGTCGTCCCTGGACGTCGGGGTGCGTACAGCACGCGCAGGCTGATCAAAGGGATACAGGGCAACTGCAGGGAGACCTCCAAGACCCCAGGGTCTCACTTTCCAAGACCATCTAGGCTGAGGCGCAACCCCACCACCACCACCATCACCAGCGCAGCCCAACAGGCCTTGTTCTTTTCTTCCACCATCAGAAAACTCTGTGGGTGGGAGAACTGGAGCGGAGTAAGAAGCAAAGGAAGACGGGACTGTGCGCCTGAGACCTTCGCGCTCAGCCCTCAAGGCAGGAAAGGGAGGCGCCCAGAATCGACAGTTTCAACACCGCCCAGATGGCTCTGGGCTTTCTGCGCTCTATTCAACTCAGGAGCTCCCCCTACCCCCGCTCTATACCCCGACCTCTTGGGAAGGTCGCCCCCCTCGGCGCCAGGAGGTAGGGACGGTGAACAGAGCCACGCCAAGGGAACGGCTCGAGTCGGGGGGCAGGGACGGGCAGCGGATGTGTGGATGTGACGGAGACTACGAGGGAAGCCAGGGTACCGCAGAAAGAAAAGCGCCAAGTCTGTGGGGCATCGCGCAGGGGCTCCAGCAGGGGCCCAGAGGGAAACGCGAGGCGGGTGGGGGGGGGGTGGTATTGGTGGTGTGGGAGTGACAGAGGCAGAGCTGCGTCCAGTCACAGAGCCTGTGCTGGGCACCCTGGGACGCGAGGAGGAGGCAGGGGCTCACCGGAGCGCCTGCCTGCCTGTCGTCTGTATTGCGTGCGTCGCAAGGCGGGGCCGGAACTGGGGTACCCGGGGACCGGCTGGGGTGGCGCCGGCGCTCACCTTGGCCTCCTGCACCGCCTCGTCGAGCGGCAACACTGCGTGTGCGCGGTGCTCGCGGGCGCGGTCGCACACCACGCAAATGGCGCGTCCGTCGTCCTGGCAGTAGAGCTTGAGCGGTTCGCCGTGCAGTGCGCATCCTGCCGCCGCCCGCGTAGGCTCGCGCTGCCCTAGCGCGCCCGCGGGGAGGCTGAAGCGCCGCAGCAGCGCGGCCACCGCTGCCAGCTGCCGGTTGGGCCGCAGTTGGCTGGGGCGCGCGGGCTCGCGGCACTGCGGGCAGGGCAGGGGGCAGGGCAACGCGCGGGGAGCAGCGGGGGCCGCCACGCCGGGGCGCTCCCAGCAGCGCGCGATGCAGGCACGGCAGAAGCTGTGGCCGCACTCGACGGACACGGGCTCGCGGAAGAGCTCCAGGCATATGGAGCACGTCGCCTCCCCCTGCAGCTCTGCCGCCAGTGCCAGCGCGTCGGCCCCGGCGCCAGGGCCGGTCCGCGGCCCCACCGCTGCCATGTGCGCCCTCAATGCACCGAAGTCGGGCGGAGCCGGGGAGGCCGGGGGCCCGGACAGTATGCGGCTCGGAGCGCGGCGGCTGGAGCTGGCCTCGGAACGCCCACGGGGGGGCAAGGGCGGGGCGGACGCGGGTCTGACCGACGCTTGAGCGGAGGGCGCGCCCAGCTGGGAAACGCGACGGAGAGTGCGCGCTGACGGCGGGCGGGGCGTACAGTGCGAGGGGATCCACACCCGGGCCAACGCCCTGCCCCCCCCGCTCAGGGCGCGTCAATCCTCGGTCCTGGCCCGCGGCCCTCCGTCCCGCGGCTCCTTCTCTCCGTCGCCGCCCCCGCTCAGGCTCTAAGCCTCCCCAGCCCGGCCCAGTCAGCCGTGGGAAACGCGCCGAAACAGGTGGGCGCACACGCCCAGCTGGGCACCCCTCCCGGGTGCGGCCCGAGGCCGCCCCAGCACGGCCGAGGCAAGGACCTGGCGCCCGGGCCACAGTGTCGGGTTCCCGGAGCGCAGGTTTGTCCCGGGCCCTGTGCTGAGCTAAATTTAGAGTCTGGGACTTGCTCTTGCCCCGCTCCCCACCCCCAAACGTGGCCTTGTATCCACTACCTTTCCCGCGATTGACCTCTCCCTCGTCTATTCTTTTTGTTTTTTAACAATACATTTACAATCAATTTCCCCCACTTAATTCGGTGTTATCCTCCTTTCCCAAACAACCCCAATCTAACGTCTCTCCACTTGGTCTCCACAACCCCCTCCGGAGCCGCCAGCATTATTTGCTTCCACACCCTCTCTCCTCATTCCCTCCTCCGGAGGCCATTCGGGGCAGGCTTTTGCCCCCACTCTCCTTAGAAACCTCCCTTGTCATGGTCACCAGTGACCTTAGTGGTCCCAACCCAAAGGCGAAGGCCCCTTCTCAGGCTTCCCCTCACCTGGGTTCTTTGATGCGCCCTCCTTGCTGACACCCTTTCTCAGCGCCTTCCAGGACTGCACTTCCAGGCTCCCCTCCCACCTCCATTGCCTCCTACCTCCTCGGCTTTCTCTGGGCCTCCTCTTCCTCTCCGTGCCCTGGCTCAGTACTTGGACCTCTGTCTATACTCACTCCCTTGTGATTTCTTCCACTAATTTTTGCTTGAAAACCCCTCTCCCTGCTGAGGTCACGGTACACATCCCCAGCCCAGGTCCCTGTAGAATGCCTGGCTCCCACATCCAACTCTGCAGCGTCCCCACCTGCTGTGTGCCGAGGGGCTTCGCCAGCTCCCCACCCAACTATCCTTCCGCTCCGCACCTCCAGCTGCGCCTCCCCCAGCCTTCCCCACCGAATCCCATTTCACAGCAACCCCAGCCCTCCGGGTGCTCAGGCCAAAACCAGGGAGTCCTCTGTGGCTCCCAGAGGAAAAATCTGTGCATATGCCACCCCCAGTCCTCAGTATGTCCTCACTCTTCCATGCCCTCCACTGCGTCATCTCCAATGATCGGGTGATCACAACAGTTCTCTCCTCTTCTGTGCCATTCCTCTGCCCTTCTCCACCCAACTGGGAGAAATCTTAAAATGTTAAGTCAGATCGTGGCCCTCCTCTGCTCAAACCCTCAGTGGCTCCCACTGAGTAATCTCAGTGTAAAAGTCGAAGTCTTTGCAATCGGCCAAAGGCCCTACCCTTACTTTGTCCCCATCCCCTGCGCCTTGCCTCTCTACCCTCATCTCCCATCACTCTCCCCTGTTGACTCGTGCCCTGCTACATGGACTTCCTCGCTATTCTTGCAACACGACACAAAGATCCTACTTCAGGGGCTTTGAACTGCTGCTCCCTTTAGCTGGACCTGTCTTTACCGGATACCTGCATGGCTCACTGCCCACATTATTTCAAAAGTCACCTCCATGAAGCCTGCCCCGGTCAGTTTAAAATTGCACCTTACCACACTCTCCCCCGACACTGGCTGGGTATTCTCTATAGCACTCCCCCTGCCCTGAAATGCGAGCTGTTAGAGGAGATGGACGGTGTCCGTTTGCTCACGGTTGGACTTCCAGTTTAATAGAGCAGTACTTGGTGCGTAGTAGGCGCTCCATAAGCTTTTCCTGAATTGTATTGATTTAAACGTGGTTCAAAACTCAGAGCTATTCACAGTGAAAAGTTTGCGCGTGGTTATCGCCCCAGTCTCCTCTCCACCCTAAGCAATCGACTTTGCAATTGGGAATTATTTTATACAAATGTCATATATTTTACAACGCTCTCCCCTCTTTTAGTTTAACAAACGTTAGCATCCTGCACTGTCTTCCTTACTTTTCTTTTTCGGCTCACAGTTCATTTTGGGCATCGTGCCCGATGATTTCTCCGTCTTTTTCCACTTCTACCCCTAGGTGTTTATCCCAGCCCTGTCCTCTCAGCTGGCCTCCTTCACAGTTTGCTCGCCGGGAATGGGTTGAGGGCTCAAACTCCATCGGTTTGCAGCCTCAAACATCGTTCATCTGCCCATGCCCTGCGCGGGTGACCGAGTAGAAAAGTTTAGGGAAGCTGAGGGAAGAATCGCTCGCAGAAGGGGATGTAGCTCAGTGGTAGAGCGCATGCTTTGCATGTATGAGGCCCCGGGTTCGATCCCCGGCATCTCCAGCGCAACAGTGCGCCAGTTGTTTTTGCTCTCTTCCAAGTTCATATGTAGCTCGTATTTGCAGATCCCTGGAGAAAACCGCGGACCGCGAAATAAGCTCAGGTTGGAGGCGTCGGCGCGACCACCACACACTCCGAGGGTCTTCCTGTCACTCCGAGTTAAAAGAAAGAAATCACAGGGTGAGCATGCCAGTGGCATCAGAGTGCGCACATTTTCCGTTCTCCAAACTGCACTTTCAGGGGCTGGAAAAGGGCAAGATCTCTGACAGAGGATAGGACGCAGAAAACCGACGGAGCGGCTGGGACGGTGAGGCACAATCATCAGACTTTGAGATCCTCAGGCTGCGAACAGCCCTATTGGCCCGATCGTACTGTGGTTTACACCGACTTTCATCTCGGTACCTGATACAGCCTGAATCACACCTTGGCATAAAATCTGGGGACCAGCAACGCAGTTTATGTGGCCCGCTTGGTTGGTAGAGTATGAAACTCTTAATCTCAGGCTCTTGGGTTCAAGCTCTATATTGGGCATGGGGGGTTTTCTATTTTGTCCCTAAACTTGCTCAGAGTAAACAGTTCATTACCATATATCCAGCAAAAAAATTAGAAAACCTCCTGTAGAGATTTCGGGTGACAGTGTTCAGTTAGACCGGTTGTTTGCAGCCTTTCGTGTATTGATTAATCTATCCCTTATTTGGTAACAATGAATTTCATGTATAATTAGTTTTAATTGTTCAATTGTTGAAATATACATAAAATGTATCTTTTTTTTCAGTGTACAGTTCTGTGGTTTTACACACATTCACATTGTACAGCCATTACCACCATCCATCTCCAAAATTTGTTCATCTTCACAGACTGAAATTGTTCTCAGTAAACACTCTCCCCATTCTTTCCTTCCCCCAGCCCCTCACAATCAGCATTCTACTTCTCTGTCTCTATGAATTTGACTACTGTGTATCTCATATAAGGCATACAATATCTGTCCTTTTGTGACTGGCTTATTTCACTGAGCATAATGTCTTCAGGGCTCATCCATGTTGCATGTGTCAAAATTCCCTTGATTTTATTTCTAATAATATTCCATTCTATGTATATCTACATTTTGTTTATTCATCTGCCAATAGACAACTGGGTTCCATCCACCTTTTGCCTATTTGTGAATAATGCTGCTATTAACATGAGTGTGTAAATATCTGTTTAAGATCATTCTTTCACTTCTCTTGAGCATATACTCAGAAGTGGAATTGCTGCTCATGTAGTACTTCTATGTTTAATTTTTTGAAGAATTGCCATAGCATTTTCTCAT